TGCATTAAGTTCATTAGTCTTTTAATTTGAGCGAAATCAATAGTCTTCAGCCTTTTTGAAGTGCCTGTTTTTCAGATACTGAATTCGAATTTCCTCTAAACTGGCGCAGAGTAGTAACCCTTGGACTTCCGGTCCATGGAATGTCATTCAAGCTAATGAAGCGCAAGTACAGTAATGTATCAGTACGTTTTGTTTTGGTTTTTGATTTTTGTTTTGTTTTGTTTTGTTTTGTTTTTGTTTTGATTTTTGTTTTTGTTTGTTTGTTTTTATTTTTTTTTTTTAATTTTTTTGTTAAACACGCAATTTATGATTCCGTTTACATGTAAGTCGGGCTTGGACTTTGGTCCGTAACGGGATCATTCAATCGTTATATTAACGACTACGCAAAAAGGAAGAATTCCTTTTTTTAAGTATAAAATTACTCCTTATATATCTGATTTTTCTTTTACGTGTCAGTATAGTTTTGTTGATAAACAGAAAATGAGTTCCGAAATGTAACGTCAAAAAGATTTACATAGTTCATATAGTCTAATTTTTTGTTTGTATATTTTTAGCATCTGACAGTAAACTGTTGTAAATGATTGTATTACTTCCTCTGAACTAGAGTTGCGACTCATACTATGTTGTCAGATTTCATTTAACAAAATGAAAACAGGCAGCACCTCTTATACTGAAATAGCCCTGACATTCAAAGAAATATCATTTAAGTGCTGATGTGATTTCCTGCATTAAACACTATCTTACATAATCCTAGAATGATCCTGTATTTAACACTTTTACAGGATCCTGGAATGATTCTGTATTAAACACGATCTTACATAATGCTAGAACGACTCTATATTAAACATGATCTTACATAATCCTAGAAAGATTCTGCATTAAACACGATCCTACATAATCCTAGAATAACCCTGTATTGAACACGATCTAACACAATCCTAGAATGATCCTGTTTTAATCATTAAACACGATCTTACATAATCCTAGAATGACTCTGTATTAAACATGATCTTACGTAATCCTAGAATGACTCTATATTAAAAACGATCTAACACAATCCTAGAATGATCCTGTATTAAATATTAAAGACGATCTTACACAATCCTAGAATGATCCTGTATTAAACATGATCTTACATAATCCTAGAATGATCCTGTATTAAACATGATCTTACATAATCCTAGAATAATCCTGTATTAAACATGTTCTTACACAATCCTAGAATGATCCTGTATTAAACATGATCTTACATAATCCTAGAATGATCCTGTATTAAACATGATCTTACATAATCCTAGAATGATCCTGTATTAATTATAAAACACGACCTTACTTAATCCTACAATGACTCTGTATAAAATTATCTTACATAACTCTAGAATGCTTTTGTACTTATCATTTAACATAATCTTACATAATCCTAGAATGACCCTGTATTAAACACGATCTAACACAATCCTAGAATGATCCTGCATTAAGTATTAAACACGATCTTACATAATCCTAGAATGACTCTGTATTAAACATGATCTTACGTAATCCTAGAATGACTCTGTATTAAAAACGATCTAACACAATCCTAGAATGATCTTGTATTAAATATCAAAGACGATCTTACACAATCCTTGAATAACACTGTATTACACATGATCTTACATAATCCTAGAATGATCCTGTATTAATTATAAAACATGACCTTACTTAATCCTAGAATGACTCTGTATTAAAATGATCTTACATAACCGTAGAATGCTTTTGTACTAATCATTTAACATGATCTAACACAATCCTAGAATGATCATGCATTAATTATTAAAGACGATCTTACATAATCCTAGAATGACTCTGTATTAAACACGATCTAACACAAATCCTAGAATGATCCTGTATTAATTATTAAACATGATCTTACATAATCCTTGAATGACTCTGTATTTAACATGATCTTACATAATCCTAGAATGATCCTGTATAAAACATGATCTTACATAATCCTAGAATGATCCTGTATAAAACATGATCTTACATAATCTTAGAATGATCCTGTATTAAACATGATCTTACATATTCCAGAATGATCTTGTGTTAAACATGATCTTACATAATCCTAGAATGATCCTGTATTAAACATGATCTTACATAATCTTAGAATGATCCTGTATTAAACATGATCTTACATAATCCTAGAATGATCCTGTATTAAACATGATCTTACATAATCCTAGAATGATCCTGCATTAAACACGATCTTACATAATCCCAGAATGATCCTGTATTAAACATGATCTTACATATTCCAGAATGATCTTGTGTTAAACATGATCTTACATAATCCTAGAATGATCCTGTATTAAACATGATCTTACATAATCTTAGAATGATCCTGTATTAAACATGATCTTACATAATCCTAGAATGATCCTGTATTAAACATGATCTTACATAATCCTAGAATGATCCTGTATTAAACACGATCTTACATAATCCCAGAATGATCCTGTATTAAACATGATCTTACATATTCCAGAATGATCTTGTGTTAAACATGATCTTACATAATCCTAGAATGATCCTGTATTAAACATGATCTTACATAATCCCAGAATGATCTTGTATTAAACATGATCTTACATAATCTTAGAATGATCCTGTATTAAACACGATCTTACATAATCCCAGAATGATCCTGTATTAAACATGATCATACATAATCCCATGCAGAATGATCTTGTATTAAACATGATCTTACATAATTCTAGAATGATCCTGTGATCCTCCACTATCGTGACCCAGTTTGAACTGCTCTAACCCAAGTACATCTGTTTTGTAAACAAAAAAATAAAGAGGATGCACCGTGCCATAAAGTCATTTAATAAATATTTTTTTACGGCTTAAATCTTTACGACTTGAAGCGTCCAATATCATCTAACATCCTACATATAGGTATCAATGGGACAATTCGTTTATAACTTACAATTGTAATGCTTTATTTATGTCTCCATCAGGAAAATATGTCAAGGTAGGGACTGATGATTTTAAAAGCACATTTTTGACGGTTCACTTAGCATAGTTTGTAATGTACGTAGGTATAGTTACCTTTCCCTGCCCTTTTAGCCAGCCAATAGAGAGCAGCACTCCCCACTCCCCCACATCCCACCACTATGTACCCGTAAGTTCTCTTACTGTCCGCCATGTAAAGAGTCGGTCTCTTTGATAACACATATTTATCTGGGGGCATTATTCAGTACATTAGCCTAAGTAAAATGACACCAAGATTCGTTTATTTATGAATGTGAAAATACTGTATTTCATGAGTGGATCAAGAATTTTTTTCCAAGTGAGTGATTTCACAACCACTCAAAAAAAAAAAAGTGAGCAATTCGCCTTCCCCCATACCTATAACTCGCCTTAATTTCTTTTTACCAAGGGTCCATGTTTTTCGGGGGGGGGTGTAATATTCTGAGAATAAAAAAATTCCCCCGAGATCCGCGCAGGTATCTTTTTTTTTTCTAATTTGACAACAATCCAAGGCTTCAAGTCACATCTTTATATGAAACAATGCGATTGCAAATGTAATATTCCTACTATATTTGGTGTCGTAGATTATAATGTGTTCATTTTAAGAAGTTAAGACTATTGTACCACAGAAAGTGTTACTATGATACAACAGTAGGATAAGAAGTCTTAAATGATAAATTTACATGTGTATCATCCTGTATAAAGATTACAGATATGCATGAAACAGACCGCTAGTAAATTAACATAAACCAGCCCTCGTTTTTTTAATTGTCCACTAAATATCTGCCATTTTAAGGTAACGTCATATAATGTCAACTGCACTTTCAAGTATTGTAGGTCTTTTCTGTTTAATTATCTGACTGACACATGAATTCTATAAACTGCATACATCGTGCAATTAATTCACAAAGAAGTGCACTTCAATGTGGGACACGCAAAGGGAACGCGTCTCTGCTTTCCATTGCACTGTATAGGATCAGTACATGAATGGAGTTTCAGAATGAGTTATTTGAACAAAGGAATTTTGTTTAAAAATGTTCATATAAGATTAAATAGATAAAAGTTAGAATTAAAAATAAATAATAACTTTTCCACTTTTGCAAATGTTAAAATTACAAAATTATGTAGATATTGTAGAGAATACGACACGGTTAGATCTGAAATCGGTTTGATTTGGGATTTGATGGAGAAATGACAATTATGTGTATTATTATACCAAGTCAATACGCTGTCCAATGTAATATGTGGAAAATTATTTAAATTATACAACAACCCCACCAACTGCAGCACTATAAATTTACTTAATAAGATGCGGGAATAAATAGCGACTAGGGAACTTATTATGAGACTCTTTTCTATGGCGCTATAAAAAGATAAATTATGAAGTTATTCAAATGAGATATAAAGGTTATATTATTTTTGTATATTCTCTGCTTTCTTTAGTTTGCCTTTCAGTCGTATCTTTGCACATATTTGCTTTTGATGTAAGGCTTTACTCAAATAATATGCAATCAATTGACCTTCCTCTGAACATATGTTAAGTCTTAAGGGATTTCTTTTCAATAATAAAATAAAGAGCAAAAATATCCCCAGCAGGAAAAAATTATAAGCTTAATTTCTTCTTTAAAAGATTTTATTTATAAACTAGAAAAAGATATGTGATGGAGATTTTCGTTTCGCTTCAATATGCTTTTATCAAAATTATCATGAAATAAGCCAGACAGTATATATGGCCAAATAACCTGCAGGAACAATTACACTTCTAGTTAAGGCTACCTAAAGAATATTATTCTAAACATAACAACAATAAATAACAATATATCGAACATGACTATTTTCTTAAAACGTAATACCGTTGGTATAATTTTACAATCAGCAACTAAAATGATTACAAATTAACATACAATCTATCAATATAAATCAAAACCAGATGGGTTATAAGATTTTAAATTTTCAAATATGATTGATTTTTGCATTTATGTGTACCTATCTATTATCGGTCCTAGTCCGCCGCAGGTAGACAAAATATTCGTCATACTAATTAGTGCATAAATTAAGTTCTCTCGATTCCGTTCCTAAGACGAGCACGTATGTGAAATAGAGAGCTCAATCTATTTTCGTGGGAATTAATCATAGATTTTTTTTTGTGAAAAAAAAGTGAAGAAAAAAAAAAACTTATTGAGGATTCTTAATATGTTCGGAATCTGAATCGGGATTTGACAGGTAACTTAAAGGTAATTTTTCCTTTATTGTTTATTTACGTTCTGAGGACAAACTGTAGGTAATTTCAAGTAAGAATTGAATGTCATGATTTTTTTTTATTGGTAGAATTCTCTGTATGAAAGTTGAATACTATTTTATGATATCTTGCCAGATTTTATAAACCGGAAACTTTCTGAAAATATTAAGGGGCCAAAAAAATTAATTAGCACGTTATAACATTTATAGGCATCATAGACATAAATCTAAGAGCTTTTGTTTGTATTTCTGTATACTGGGGAGAAATAGTGTAAATGATCATACTTTACACGTTTCCTTTGTTTAGATATGGAAAATATGGTCTCATCTTATTTGCAAAACGACATTCAAAATAAAAATCAAGTATAAGCTTGTTATGCCAATGGTTGTTTGATAAAAATTTCAGGAACGCACGACCTTTACGTAAGAATCAATTAGGAAAACACGAGAACAAGTTGAACGATGTATTTATGAATTATGACTTATTTGTTTTACACAAAATCCCCTCGGGCAGTATGAAAGCATCATAAGAGGAATTAATCCGTAACATGGAAAGAATAATAAATGTCGTAATATCATTTTAAATTTTGCCGAAAATGGTCTATTCACTTCCTGTGGTTGTATATTTTAGTAGAAAAAAAATCTGGATTTATTTTAAACCAGACATAACGACTTGTTTTAGTGGATAGTCTCAGTAAATAAGGAACTTGACACTATACATAATTAGAATATGTACATTTGAAGTTACTTGACACCAAATATAACAGGAATATGTACATTTGAAGTTACCTGACACCAAATATAACAGGAATATGTACATTTGAAGTTACTTGACACCAAATATAACAGGAATATGTACATTTGAAGTTACCTGACACCAAATATAACAGGAATATGTACATTTGAAGTTACCTGACACCAAATATAACAGGAATATGTACATTTGAAGTTACTTGACACCAAATATAACAGGAATATGTACATTTGAAGTTACCTGACACCAAATATAATTGGGATGTATACATTTTAAGGTACCTGACACCAAATAGGGATATATACATTTTAAGGTACCTGACACCATATATCATTTTAAGGTACCTGACACCATACATAATAGGAATATATACATTTTAAGATACCTGACATAATATATAATAGGAATATATACATTTTAAGGTACCTGACATAAAATATGATAGAAATATGTACATTTTAAGGTACCTGACACCATATATAATAGGGATATATATATATTAAGGTACCTGACACCATATATAATAGGAATATGTACATTTTAAGGTACCTGACACCATATATAATAGGGATATATATATTTTAAGGTACCTGACACCATATATAATAGAAATATGTACATTTTAAGGTACCTGACACCATATATAATAGGGATATATATATATATATATTAAGGTACTTGACACCAAATATAACAGGAATATGTACATTTGAAGTTACCTGACACCAAATATAACAGAAATATGTACATTTGAAGTTACCTGACACCAAATATAACAGGAATATGTACATTTGAAGTTACCTGACACCAAATATAACAGGAATATGTACATTTGAAGTTACTTGACACCAAATATAACAGGAATATGTACATTTGAAGTTACCTGACACCAAATATAATTGGGATGTATACATTTTAAGGTACCTGACACCAAATAGGGATATATACATTTTAAGGTACCTGACACCATATATCATTTTAAGGTACCTGACACCATACATAATAGGAATATATACATTTTAAGATACCTGACATAATATATAATAGGAATATATACATTTTAAGGTACCTGACATAAAATATGATAGAAATATGTACATTTTAAGGTACCTGACACCATATATAATAGGGATATATATATATTAAGGTACCTGACACCATATATAATAGGAATATGTACATTTTAAGGTACCTGACACCATATATAATAGGGATATATATATTTTAAGGTACCTGACACCATATATAATAGAAATATGTACATTTTAAGGTACCTGACACCATATATAATAGGGATATATATATATATATATTAAGGTACCTGACACCATATATAATAGGAATATGTACGTTTTAAGGTACCTGACACCATATATAATAGGAATATGTACATTTTAAGGTACCTGACACCAGATATGATAGGAATTTATACATTTTAAGGTACCTGACACCAGATATGATAGGAATTTATACATTTTAAGGTACCTGGCATCATATATAATAGGAATATATACATTTTAAGGTACCTGACGTAATATATAATAGAAAAATATACATTTTAAAGTAACAAACACCAGAAATGATAGGGATATATACATTTTAAGGTAACAGACACCATATACATGTATAATAGGAATATATACATTTTAAGGTACCTGACATCATATATACATGTAATATGAATATATACATTTTAAGGATACTTAAAATAATAGTAATATATACATTATGAGGAATGAAATGGTCAATGACAATCAACACAGACCACAAACATTAAGTAAAGCTAGCCTAGCTGCGATCAACAACGACATTCGATTTTACAGTTTTCTTTAAAAAATATCTTTAATTAAAATAAGTCACCTTTAATACTTTTCACTCTTGAAAATTAATTATAATTTGAAAAGGACTCAAAATTTACAGATCAATAGGAATGACTTTATTTACTGATATCTTTTGTTTAAATTTCTTTTCATACAGAAATTCCATTGTCTTTTCAGTTTTTTTTCTACAGAATTCCTTAACAATGAAGAAATCCAGTGTTTATATACTTTCCTTGTTGGTTTTGTTGAATGTCTTTAGACTACTACATTCATACGAGTGCCCGGAGTACATGCGGCGCCGATACGACTTTATTGTAGGTAATGTTTATAGTCAAACACAGACCTAAATATTACCTTGGGAAATTTGGTCAATGTAACATTTTATGAATGTATAACAGAATATTTTTATGTTGGCCGTAACTAAAGGTACAGTAATGGGTCAGGTGTGTTACTAGTTCTTCTGGTCATGACCTCGTCTGACCTCTATAATACAACGGTATATCTGTAGAATAAATGTTTGAAATCTTTTCCTTTCTGCACTTGTTATTGTATCGAAGGGTTATTACTTATTTATCTATATTTTTGGCAACAAATATAGAAATTAATTATGGAAAAAAAAACTAAGAAGAAATGTTCTAAACTCATTAAATTCTTTTGACCTGTTTTACTTTGAATTTTCACTTTTTTCATAGAATACATGTATATAAAAAAAGATATCATGTCTACTTATCCCCATGCATCTTTATTTTCGCTACAGTTGGATCTGGATCTGCAGGAACAGTTCTCGCCGCGCGACTCTCAGAAGATCCGGACCACCGTGTTCTCCTGGTGGAGGCCGGCGAGTCTGACAGGGAGAGGAAGGAAACTCCGTACATGGACATCCCTGCCCTATATCCCCTGCTAGTGAACTCCAGTGTAGATTGGGGATATTACAGCGTACCGCAGAAATACGCAGGATACGCCTACAATAACAGGGTAAGTGCTATTCCAGAGTAAACGTATTAACATAAAATAATATTCAAAATCTTTTCATCATTCGTAAAATAGCAGAAATGTAGAGAATCAAAAAGATTTTTTTTTCAAATTCCTGCATATAAATAACTGATATGTAAGGTTAATGCTTCTATACGAGAGTAATTTTCAGAAAAAAGAAAAACAAGGGAAACTGCGTATAGTTCTTATTTAGATTAGAGGCTGGATATTTTTAGCAATTTCCTCTCCCTCAAGGAAAAGTTAGTGGAGGAACATTCAGTATCAACAAAATGATTTATCAGCGAGGAAGTCGACACATCTATGATTATTGGGCATCATCCGGGGCATCGGGTTGGAGCTTCCGGGAAATTCTGAAATACTTCCGGCGGTCCGAGGATATCGCTGTTCCCGAGTTAGCTAGATCAAGTATGATGGTTCTTTATTAGGGAGTAATCACGTAATTGAACACACACACAAACCCTCTCTCTTTCTCTCTCTCACACACACCCTCACCCTCACCCATCCATCCACACACGCACAGAGAGAGAGAGAGAGAGAGGGGGGGGGAGACAGAGCAAATGAAGAAATGTCTCAACTGTGGTAAAGTGTCCCCTTTTTCAGCTTCTTAAATTCCAAAATTTAAATGAAATGACACTCTTAAAACAGATCGATCAAATATCAAATATAATTTTAATTCATGACATAAGGGGAAGTGAAAAGCATACAAACTAAGCCTAATTATGATGTGACTCTAGCACATAATATTGATATTTCTTACAAGAGTGACGATGCGGACACATTTAAACCATTGTTTCTCAGTCTCTATGGAAATTGTTTGATCCTGATCTCCGTTATAGAGTGAGCTACCTGTTATTCACGCAAAATAAATCGGAGATCCATCATATAATGCCAATCATTCTCTTTCCATATGTACATTCTTCTTTATTGTTTCTTTGATGATGAAAATTTTTTTAAAAAATGACATTGCAGTAAAATTAGATCAGGGGCCCGTTTTACAAAAGAACTTATGACTAAGACCAAAAACTTCAGTTAATTGTAAAATTTTGCAAAATTAATAATTCTGTTTAAAATTGCTAGTGTAAAAGTATCTTTCTACATACCTTTTAAAAAGATTAAAATCATTTTCTTTTTATTGTAAATTAGAAGGTTACTAGCAGAATTAAATTTTGGTCTTAGTCGTAAGTTCTTTTGTAAAACGGGCCCCAGGAGATCAAATGGTATGGAATCTTTGTATCAAACGATTGAATTGACCAAGATATGTAACCCGAATCTAAGAAATTCAATTTTTCTTTGTAATTTCGTGTAAAGTTATATCACTCTCCTTATCTGATACAACGACACAGTTTACATTCAGAGAAATGTATTTCTTTAAATTTACTTCGATTTATATATTAATTAATTAATACATTAATTAATTACGGGGAAATAGATACCTATTTTGTCATGAAGACTGTTTAAATAATCATTCAGCAGCGAAGCCCACGAAACATTGGATAATGCTGCACTGAATTAAAGATAATTATAATGAATTACTCATTAAATTCTGACATCATGATTTTGCATTTTCTTAAACGTGGTGTAAAACTTATTTATTGCTATCACGCATTAACTACAATTCAAAAACCCTCAGTAAACATAAATTGTAGGTCTATATACATTTAAACTGTAAGAAAGTATTCAAGGAAGTAGAATTTGTACAATTCTAAGATTATGAAAACTTTTTAATGATTTATCACATTTTAATTTAAAGTTTAAAACCTTCATCATAAAGATCACTTTCTCTTTCTTCTCGACGTTTACAGGAAACTAATTCTTATACAATTTGTAGCGTACCATGAGAGGTGTGGTAACCTCCGCGTGTCTCGTTTACCTCCCAGCCCCTTCCTTAACACCTATCTGAATGCTGCCAACACCCTGGGATACAAAACCATCAACTGTAACGAGGGAGCAGATATTGGTAATATTTGCTTTTTAAAACGATGCCAATTGATAAATAATATATGTATCTTTCTTTCAATTTTAATATCCGCTCTACCTTGCACGGAGATACCCGAATCTGAAGCCACTGAATTCAGAAAAAAGAAGGAATTATTTCATTCATTGCTTTTGAAGACTTCTTACTGTTTAAGGTATCTGCAGGATACATACTAACATTAAGTTTGGTGAGCGATGGAATACATTGAAGGGATTCATAAGGCCTGCTCTGGGGAGACGAAACCTTGATATGGTCACAGATGCACATGTCTCCAAGGTATATCTATTCACAGAAACACTGCTGTTCTTGAGAAGGTTCTTCCTAGAGTTTTTTCGTGTATTTATTTCCATTTAAAGGAAACTTTGACACAAATGTATTTTTCTTTTTTGAGCAAGATGTGCCATATCTTGGAAGAGGACTAAGATCTGCGCTCTGTATTATCACAATTTCATCAGTGTTGCTTCTTCATTTGGATTTGATTTAAACAAATCGTAATCTCATTTAGTTTCTATGCAGCAAATTCTGTTAATTGTCCCCATATTCTGTAGAAGTCCAAAATATAGAAAGGTTTTAGAAGAGAGAAAAGACATAGAAGAGGTTCCTTTTAATCTTTGATCAAAATGATCTAAATTGGAAATAGTGCATCATATATATATTTTACAGGTATTGATTTCCGACAGAAGAGCTAAAGGAATAGAGTTCATACATCGAGGAATTTCCTTCAGTGTCCAGACAGATAAAGAAGTGATCCTGGCGGCCGGAACTTACGGATCACCAGCAATCCTGATCCGATCTGGCATCGGACCACGTGACCAACTACAGAAACTTCAGGTTTGTTTTGTCTTAAAAACCGAGGTTTTTTGTCTGGTTAGAGCTGAACTTGCAGGCCCGTAGCAACGGTTTCAAAAGGGGGGGGGAGCAATTTCCAAAACAAATTCTGACAAGCAGAAACCAAAAAAAAAAAAACCTAATTAATGTCCAAATCCTGGAATATGCCAGAGCTCATCGTTACAGCATACAAAAGGGGGAGCGCGAGAGGATCTTTATAAAGAAAAATTTACTAAAGCAAAATACTATACTCAGAAAAAGTGCCCCTTCCCTGCGTTCTACAGGCTTGACTTATCTGCAACATCGTTTACCAGTTCTTCTATAATAATAATAACACTCAAAGGAAGTCCCGTGTAAAATTGGTATGCTTCTAAGAAAAAAAAGTAACTGATCAAAAAATGTGTGACTGTCTTCATATTAACGATGTCTAAAATCTATCAGAAAGAGTCATGGTTTTGAGAAGGTCGTCATTAATCCAGGTAATTACGTGTATATCATTTACAAGGTTCCTTTTTTAATTTCTTCGCTTTTTCCCTTTTATGCCTACTTATCTGGTTGCAACTAACACTTAATTCCCTTTCTTTGTTGTTTCTGGTTGACTGGAATATGCACAACATAGTTTCTGTTTCAAGACCAAGTAGTCAAAAACATTTTATTCATGGTTACATAAATTCTTACATAAAGAAAAATAAGCCGGTTTAATGTCCTCATTGGTTAACAGTATGATAATAGACAACTTCCTTATTCTGTAGTTCTAAGGAGCCACTCTGTAAACAAACTGTATCAGCCACTGTAGTATATGACATATTTTCCTGTTACGAAACATAAAAAGAACTTTATAACAAAAAAGAATGATTTTGATGTAATTTGACATTCAAAGGAAATACAATTGAATAAAATGCTGATCATTTAGTATTTGATAGTCTTCTTACATCAAATGAATGTATTTAGTTAATAAACATACGTAAAGGTGATCAAAATAAAGCATAAACATAAACAAAATAAAGCGTAAACATAATCAAAATAATGCATACACATAATCAAAATAATGCACAAACATAAGATTGAGATTGTATTCAGAAATAAATTTTAGTAAGATCTAGAATAGAATTCAAAACAGGTTTTATGTAACATAAAAGCATGTTAAGGTAGTTTACTCATTTATTGGAATGGTGTCAGATGTGGTTGTTGTAGGTCTCTCTTTAAATAAGAAATACGAAATCTTTTTAAATTACGTGTTAAAATGCTCGTCAAATACAAAATATGTTGAAATGAATGAGAGTCTGTTTAATAACTTCAATCTCACAAATACTGAGTATGGCAGACAAGCTACTTAATAATTGGTTATGTGCCTGTTTTTTTAACAACGTATTACATCGTTCATACTTAATCTGAAATAAATGCCATTCGACTTAATTCTTTAAAGCACGTTTAAGGATGATGACTTTGTTTGTTCCGTTACTGCACATCTGAATAAAGTAATCATACAGATGAACCAGATTGTCTAGCTTTAGTGTTTTTATCATATTTTGATGTTTTCATTATTATCTATACTGTCTTCTAGCAGTACAGGAACAACGCGCTGGACCGCTTGGCCATCGAGGCAAGTCAAAAACCTATATGAACACCCCCCCCCCCCGCCCCCCACAGAAGAACACAGTTAAGGAAACGTGTGATGCTTAGGTCATTATTTACAATTTTAATTAAGCAAACATAGAGCTAGGGCCCAGTTCTTTGTAAATGATTACGAACGTATATCTTCCACGAAATGTTCAAATTTCAAACTTCAATCTGCTCGGCTTCAGCTAGGAAATCAAATGCTTATGACATGGCATTCGAAAGAAATTAAATGCCGATCATTAAGTAATGAAAGTTTTATGATATCTAAAGTAAGCAAACAAATCTAAATATGTTAACAAACATGTAGCAAATACGTGATTTAATTTCGTAATACAAGTCAATGTGAATGCAATTTTAACTTTCTAACAGTTCATTTAGTATGGTGAATATATTTGTTTTGCTCTCTTCAAAAGTTTATTAATTAAGGATTGACACAGATTGTCTAGTGTTATTGTTTTTGTCAAATTATGATTTTTTTTAAGAGTAATTTCCAATATTAATAATTATGTAGATGTAGATTCTATAGAGTTCTACCTAATGGATTACACATGCACTTATAAAGAAGCGCTTGTACAGATCTATGAAGACTAGTTGTATTTAACAAAATTACATTATTCGTTTATGTTGTAGAAGAAACTCAATGTGTTATCGCAGTTCTTAGTTAAAGTGTCGATTATTGCTTAGTACAAGACAAACAAAAGGCAGCTATATAAACTAAGCTGCTATTGCCATCTCTTTGACTTGATATTCAGTTAAAGATAGTGTCGATAATGGCTTATACAAGACAAACAAAAGGCAGTTCTATATAATTAAGCTGCTATTGTCATTTCTAATCAGTTTTTCTTTACCAAATGTCTTAATGTCGACCATTGTTTCCAAAAACTGCTGTTTAACACGTTTATTTTGGGAACAGAACAAAATGACACAACCAGAAGATAAGATAAGAAAATGTGATGCATTCTGTTCAGTCTGCCTCTGTCCGTGTTATTAGTATTACTAGTATTCAATGCAGCTTAACAAAGTTTGTCATGTGACTTGAAATGAGAAGAACCCAAGCTTGATAAGAGGAACACGCTTGCTGCAATTTTTAAAACAATGTGATAAGAAATGGAAACTTCATTTTGAAGTATAGATATAAATAAATTCAAAACATTTCAATGTGTCTAAATTGGAAAAAAACAATAGACTTTAAAAAATTAAAGAGGATTAATAGGAAACACAAATACTTTACATATCCCCTCTTCCATGTTTCATTCGAATAAGTGGCATATAAAGATACAAAGCGGGATCTAGAAAATATTCTACTAAGCCACACGGAAATACTAACAGCAGTGAAGGAGAAACTTCAGCAGTACTGTGAACCGACACTTTCGAGAAGTGGTGTTAATCAGATGTGGATACATATAATTCTCAAAGAATTTTAGAAAATTTGAAATCACAAAATTTTATCAAAATAATTTTACATCAAAAAGCATCAATCTTCAAACAACAATTCCCATAGATAAATTAAAGAGCAATAAAATTATAATTAACATGATAAACAACCGCTTCTTTAACCAGAATGGAACTAGCAAATTTCAGTATCTTGTCACTGGTCATCTACAAACTCACTTTGTTAGAACTCATTCTATGCAAAAGTACTGTGTAGTAATATTGGAAAGATGCTTGACATAATCCTTTTAGTCTTTGAAGATCAGGTTTTCCCACAATCTGTTGGAATTCCTAATATAGTTACTAATTATGTCCAAGATAAGAAGACCTGTTTTTGTAATTGTATTCTTATACAAAAACTTCTACATAAAAAGAAGTGTCTTGCAGTGGCCATCAATTCGATATTTAGATATACCGATAACGTTTCGAAAACGTTTTATTAATAAATATTTATTAATACTTCTACGTCGATTCAATAACCCACTGACCTCGAAATAATGAAATTGATGATGATAACGAAATGCTTGTATATGTATGCTAATGCTAAATTTTCAGAATATGAAAAATATTGGAAAACTATTTGTGATATGATATAATGTATTTATTTTTCTCAAGTTTATATACAAATGTACAAGTATGTTAAAATACTTAATACTGTTCCCCCCACCTCACTTTTTTGCACCCTTTCACCCCCTTTTTCCTTTCTTTAATTTTATCTCTGTATATAAAGCTTTCACAGTGAATATTCATTAAAATGTACAATATGTCATATACAATTTTAATGTGATTTTGAAATGCAACATATATTTACTACAAAGAAATTATATTTAATATGAAGTATCAGGCAGTAGAAATGAAAGTATGTATTGAATGTTAACTAATATATTGTATAGTCTGTATATGTGAAAGCACAAATAAAATCTATGAATTAAAAAAAAAAAATTGATGATGATAACGAAATGCTTGTATATGTATGCTAATGTATTTACGAAATGCTAAATTTTAAACGAGGTTGTTGTAATCCCTGTAACATTAACTTACTTGTCACTAGCCTGTCTTGGTTTGATAATTGGCGGTATTCAGAGCATGTTCTTGAGTATCGAATACGTTGGGAGACATAAACATAAAGTCTAACTCATCTGCTTCATATCTGGATATTTTACTAGAGTAAGGCGTTAATGGTACATGTAACCTAACAACAGAACTATATGATTAAAGGTGCTTACTTTAACTGGTAAACTAATAACTAAACCTTATGATTAATGTGATTACTTCAACTTTTCTATCGTCATCTACCCATAATTATGTAGTAATATACCAATATCACCTGCATATTGGGTTTGTATCTCCAAGTTGATTCGATACGCAAGAGCATGTTACTTTCACAAAGAATTCCTAAAACGAGGCAGACTACTGAGGAACAAGTTGATGATATGAGGCCATGTACAATCTCGTTTAAAATCAACATTTAGCAAATTCTACGAACGATACAATGACTGTCTTTGCAAATACTATCGGCCATTAGATTTATTGTTGACTGATGTCTTTCATACCAATTGTAAGGACATTATTTTCATGCTAAATAGACGAGTAGACGTATTTCTCCGTACGCGTTTACCCGATCATGACTAAAGGCACACGTCGGGTATGACCGGTCGAAAGGGATGCTTCCTCTTTCATGTCAACTGATGTTTTCGGAGTTCCATATTTGCACTGCTCATATTTACTCGCATTCGTATGTAGGACAAGACAGAAATGGACCTTAAAGTAAAAATTGCGCTAAGCTTAGGCCATTTTTTTTTTTAAAGATTACTTATAAAATCAAAACATATTTTAAGAAAAAAAAGGGTTACATTTTCTTTAAAATTTAAAAGGAAAGTATCAGTAATGCAAGCATCCTTGTACATCATACACATTTTGGTCATTTTCACAGCAAGAAGACATTTGACGTAGATTAAATGGAGATGTTATCTTAACAAAGAACATTTATTCTATTTTATATATACACGTATTTACTCTGAAATACCACGCATGTTACAGAAGTCTCCTTTTTCTTATTCCTTTTGGCCATCTTAACAGAGGAAGCATTTATTTTCTTGTTGAAATATCTTAGATTTATTCATATTATTGACCATGAATCATTTTAAATTGAGTAACGTGTTATAAAAATATTATCATGTCTATTAGATGTAAAATCTCCCATGATTTCCTATTGTTTCATGGATGACAAATTATTTATTTAAAATTGTGTAACTGGGACCAAAACGGTTTCAGAACACGATCCGGGGACCACAATAAAGCTAGAAAAAGGATTTAACACGAGGTCTTTTGTCAGGCTTTAAATTAAAATACATGTATTTAAAAAGCATCTTTACACCGAAAAGACTATAGCTGTGAACCACAAAGTCTCCGCATTTAAAAAAAAAACTACGTAAAAAGTTAGAATACACTTCCAAGCATTCTTAAAGGAATTAAAAAGAAATTAAAGCTCTTTAATGGTTCCTCAGTGTATAAAGATTTCAGGATGTCTTTTGTGTTACAGGTACCACCCATCTCTTTGGTTCCAGTTGGAGAATCTCTTCAGGACCATCCTACAATCAGTCTTAGAGTTCTTGTCCAGCAACCAACCATCAAACCACACGCTATTGCTGACCAGGTGAAAAACAACCAGTATCTATTTCAGAGAACAGGTAATGAATGACCACATTTCAATTCTCAAATTATTCTTATTAACTCATGTTTTGTCTATTGTCAAATAATTTACCTGTCTGTCATATTTAAAATCTGTATATAATGGATATACTTTTCATTAATTTCAGGATTGCTAGCAGAACTTCGTGGCACCGAGGCTCTACTGACGTTCCAATCTGACCCGACCTCTATTATCGCTTATCCTGACCTTCAGATAACCTTCACAAGTTCTCTTGGTGACCATGACCCAATGATTGACTACGTAGGAAATAAAAATATTTCTGTAAGTAAATCCAATCTTAAGGATGCATAATTAAAAAAAATTGATGCATGGATTGATATAAAAATTATGTATTTTTAAGAGTTATTTTGAAAAAAATAATTAATGTACGTTCCTGAAATATAAAGAAAGTTTTCTTTGGTGTTCAAATGTACGATTTGTTGCGATTTTCTTTTATAAATCTATACAAATGTTTGCATACATTTTATGACATTAGTACAAAATTTTATAAAAATTCCAAACTTACTCTGGCAAACATATCTCAAGTTACCTATATGAACATGAATCTATAAGTTATTTTGATGATTTCTGAAAAAAAAGTTTGTGTTATCTATCTTTTTTCCTGTGGTTATTTAATAAGAACCATGAATAAATTCGGTTTTCCATTCAACCAAAATAAGATTTCTTTCAAGATTTATTAAAAGAAATATATAAATCATTATAAGACTGAACCTAATTTTTTGCCACAATTTCTCCATTACTTTAGTTTATAAAGTCCTGGTTCTCCTTAGCGAGAGGCAGAGATGGTATAACTCTCAACATCAAACTGTTACATCCCACAAGCAGAGGGACATTAACATTGAATAGTTTGGACCCAAAAGTTCCTCCTGTCATAGACCCGGGATATTTATCATCTCCTGATGATGTCAGAGTTCTTATAAAAGGTATAACTTATTACCGTTAACCAACTTTTATTGGCGTGAGGGAAATATTCGCAAGTTTTGCTACTTTCTCCAACTCGCTAATAACTGTTTCTATTCTTAATCTTCTTTTACGAAAATAGTCGCCGCCAGCAAATTTCAAAGTATTGAAAAGGGAGAAATAAAACGTTATTAGTATATTTTTAATTTGAAAATGCATGGTCGCTTTCTTAAACTAAAGGAAAACAAAAAGATGCGTTTTGATGTTTCTGCCTTGTCTGTACAGTAATTGTGAATACTTTACAGGAATCAGAAAAGCACAGGCACTGATACAAACACCACAGTTTCAGGAAATGAAAGCCTCTTTGGGACCTTCCTTCTCGGGTTGTCTACATTTTGCACGTGACTCTGATGCATACTGGGATTGTTATATTCGCCATTTCATGGAACCAGGGCACAACCCTGTCTCAACAAATAAAATGGGATCCGTAAATGATGGTTCAACAGTTGTTGGTCCCGATTTGAAGTACGTTATTTGAAGTTTGCAAAATTTCTGTTTTCTGTTCAATGATTTTCTTTACACATATTTTTTTCAATTTTTAAAAAATGTTTAAAAAATTGGTATAATCTTCTTCTTCTTTTTTTAAAGTACTTAGAGAAGTCACATACACTGTATTAGTATTCTTAATTCATTATTTTCGTTACAAAGTTGGGTGAAGGTTGTTTATTTATCCTTTTGATAAAACTTTTGAACAATGTCTATTGGAATGAGAGAAATATGATGGGAATTTGAGAGGACTCAAGATTTAAAGCTGATTCTTATTTCAATTTCGTTTTATAGTATTTGCATTAGAATATGGCAGACTTCAACATTAACAAAAATGCCTATTCATAACTGACATGAGCTGTTAAATCTGTTTAATTCTTATTATTTTATAAATTGCCCGCTATGCATCTGGCTTATTGATAAAGGAGACTTTTTTCCAATTCAAGACACAACCTGTTGATTGCTTTCTTCTAAGGATAACAAACCTCGTGTAAACATTGAAGTTACACACATAAGTTGACGTCAGTCATAACTTTGTTTTGCATTTAGGTGGAAACAAAAAATAATATTATTTTATTAAATTTTAGATAGCAACAGCTTAATATTCGATTCGATTTTTCATATATTTTCTAGAGAGAAAAACAAATTTTCTTGTCAATGTTATTATGTTTTCAGAATTTTATTAACACTTACCTCTGATACCCATTTGCTCTGCATGGTTCTGCACCAATGACTGTTGCTTTTTTTTATTATTAAAAAAAGCTTTGATTTAGATGCTGTAAATGAAAATGAAATGTTAAAAGCGAACAAATGTAATATGTATCACTCATGAAATAAAAATTAAATCTAGTAATAATGAATAAAAGTCAACTTTAATTTTTTATTAGGCCTTTTGGCGGTATGATTTTCACTTAAGAAACAGTTCTGACGTCATATATTTAAGTGATTGAATTACACACTAAAAATCTACATGTACTTCACTCGCTGTCTATTCGCAGTTCTTTGAGACTCATATGCTTAAAATGTATTAAATGACACTCAGATGATATGGAAATGCATGAAATAAAAACATAAATTTTAAAAATATTCAATTAAAATGTAAAAATATACGAATTATTCTTTTATATTACAGGGTAAAGGGTATAACTGGTCTACGTGTTGCTGACGCTTCAGTTATCCCAGAAATAACGGACTATACAAACGCAGCGACAATCATGATAGCAGAGAAAGCTGCCGACCTGATCAAAAGTGATATTAACCAGCCAGTGTAGAGTCAAAAGTGATATTAACTAGCCACTGTGGAGTCAAAAGTGATATCAACCACTGTAGTGATAACAAAAGGAAAAACATTAGATCTCGTGGGGAAGGAATAAGATTACTAAAAAATAAAGCTAAAACACAGGAATTGTTTCTAACATATTTTATTTCTCGCTTCTGTTTAATGCTGACATTTCTGCCTGCCTTGTATTTCATGATATTTTAAGCTTACAAAATTCAAAATTTGGAAAGGGACACAGAAAACAACTTTACCTAAGGATTCAATTCCTATAAGTAATACTGATTCATATACAGTGAAACCTGTCTTATCCGGCATGCTGAGGGAAATAAAAACAATGTCGGATTAGGCAGTGTGTCGGATTACCCAGTGTTGAATATTTCTGAGCATTATCATTAGTGTCAGACGACTTCATACAAAAAAAAAAAAAATCATTTTTCATTAGGTTAAGAGTACACTTGTATTTAATTGTCAAAGTGTTTGCATAATTGTGTGTTTCTTCGCTGTATAAATTATATCTGATTAGCATTTCTTTGAGAAACAGCGGTTGTGATATAGCATTAGTAAACTCTGTAGTAATATACGATGTTTTTCTTTTTTTTTTTTAATGGAGAAAACATGGAACTGCCGATCGCTTCGAGATTTCGAGATGTTGCAATTTAATTTTTACTTACTGACAGTCGATACTAAAGTAAATATTTTGTCTACCTTCTCTACACAGTGGTATTGTTTGTTTTTTTTTTCTACAGATTTTCGCCATTGTTTATTTCTCAACATAGACTGTGCTATTAATACCGTCACGCGACTTTTCATACAAACGGGACATAACTCTAAAACTGTGCGATTGAATTTTAATCAAACAGACGTAATATTTTACATTTAATGGGCAACTGAAAGCGGTATTTTTTGCTTTCGGCGAATCACTTATGTACACAGCCTCGCTTGATTCAGTGTATATTAACCCGGAAATGAAACGTTTTCTATAAGACAAGTTGCTGCTTTTCAAATTGTGTATTGTATACATGTTACACAGTAGTTCGCCGTACTCATTTTTTTTTTTCATAACATGGCTTTACGAAGGACTCTGGCTGATTATTTGATTTAATTTCAAGCGAAAAATCTTATTTATTCTGTAAGGTAAATGCGATCTAAACATCATTTACTCTTTTTTATTTTCTGTCGCGTGGATGCTATTTTTTCCAATGCGAGAATAAAATTGATAACAACAGGGACGTACGTATATATAACATCAAAGAGAAATAATTGCCTAATTTTTAATTCAAAAACTGTTCATTTATAATTGCTTACATAAACACTTTCGAACTCGTACATGTAATTAACTACTCTCTAAGTAGACCAATCTTGTGACCAAACGGGACATTCATGTTACCTGGCCAGCGGCTGATTACGGTACACCAGTGTAATTATGTCGGATTACTCAGGGTAAATCATAAAGTAATTATCTTCTTCTGTTGACAAAAAATCGCCGGAATTCGGAATGTGCAGTGGTCGGAATATACAGTGTTTTATTTTATATAAATTATAAAGAAATTTTTGGGAATAAAATATTAGGTCGGAAAGTCCAGTGTTCCGGATTGCACAGTTGTCGGATTGGACAGTGGGCACTGTACATAACGAGACGAATGTAGGCAAATGACAAATTAGTTCTTTCTTTACAATCAAGTACTAATAGTTACTGTGTAACTAAGGATTGTATCTAAAATTAGCATCGTTGGTGATTTTGTTCTCTCAATGACTTCCCCTTTATCTTAACTTCAGTTGAGATTATGGTATAAATCTGTTCATGGTGTGACACAAATTTGTCAAATACTATAACACAAGATTCACTTGCTCAGTGCTTAAAGTTAAAATCAATATAGAAAACAACAATAATCCTTTGTTATTAACTTGCTGAAATAAATATGTCAAAACTGGAAATGTCTTTGTAGTCTTTGTAATATAATATATGGACTCGATTGAAATCATCTGCTATAGTATATATAACTCAGAGGACATAAAGGTGGTTTATGTTTATGTGAAGCCTATCAAATTTTTCATGTTTCTCAGAAATCTTTGTACAGTATGGACATAAAAACAATCTAAGTTACCGTGTTTTATACCGCTATTTGATTTGACAAAACAGAACATCCATCTCAATAAAATTTATTTGATATATAGTTTAATATGAAGTCAAAGAACTTTTAAGAATTTTGAGTGTTTTTGTTTAAAATACATTATTGGTCACGATTATTGAATCGATGAAAAGACATCTAAGTCGAATAGTTTAAGAATGTTATAAATCTTTATTTCAAATTCGAAACATGACTATAGTGCGTATCATGAACCCTGCTTGATAAGGAGAAGGTAGGGGTACTTGTTGTCGAAAATGAATAAGATGTTTTACTTTTTAGCAGAATTGAGGTTTAGTTTTCGCTAGACAACACTCATGTACAATTTCAGAAAGATGGGGATGTTATGTCAGAAAAACTGTGTTCCTTTATTAACCAACCTGTATTACATTGCTATGAAGAGATTATTTGGAAATATCTATCATTTACATTCATTTGAATAAGTAATTAACAACTAAATATTACATATAACAAAAGGGAGTGACTTCCGCTTTTCCATAGTCAACTTCCCATATATACAGTTATGAAGCAATATTGTGGATGATGTCTATTTAGGAGTTTCAACACTCTTTTAAAAGTAGCATTTCTCAATTTTTTTGTTCTATTTATAGATCATCTTTACAAATACAACCTATAATTGCATGTCATTTTGACTGACATGTTTCATACGAATTGTTAGACTTCATTTTCAAATTAATTTCCCTCAGGAATGCGCAATTAACCTGATTAATACTTAGGGGTCATGGCGTCTGTGACCTGTCGACAGGGGATGCTTACTCCTCCGATCCAAGGCACATAGTCATATAAGTATACGTCAGGGAAGTGATTAACTCTGTTGTAGCATGAAACTGGAGATTTTTTAAAAAATTGAACCTCTCATATAAATTTAACTCGAAAGAAAACCTTATTTAAGAATTTGTCATTTTCATCTTCAAGTAATCATATATTAAAGTACGTCAGAGAACATGCTGAAATCGAGAGGATTAAACATTATTCAGGATCCATGAAGTACAATATGATGTGGTCATTTCTGAAGTTATTAGGTCTGTTAATGAAAAATTTATTTTATTTACATGTATTAGGATGTTACCATCGTTTTTAAGTTCACCTTTTTTTAAAGAGAAGAACAAATTAAAAACAGTGTATCTCAAACACTGATATCTCGAATACCATGGGTGAAATATGAAGATAACGAACATTATTCAATCTCAAAAAGTCCAATGAAACAATACAAATTTAGAGCTGAGCAAACACGGAGCGCAAAATTTAGAGGCGGGATCAGCTGCCATGGAGGAGTGAGCATCCCCTGACGACCGGTCACACCCGCCGTGTGCTCCTTGTCATGATCGGAAGAAAAAAAAGGAAAAATCCCGTGGATTACCATTTCAGTGTATAAATAATGGCCTAACAATTAGTATGAACAACGTCAGTCAGCATATCACTTAATGATAGGTTGTATGTGTTGAAAAGGCCATTGTATCGACCATAAAACATGCGAAATGATGACTTCAAACGAGACTGTTGATATCCTTGTTTCATCACCTTGTTTGTCAATAGCTTGCCTCGTTTTAGAAATTGTTCATACGTACAGCATGCTCTTGCGTATCGAATCAACTGAGAAACATAAACCCCATATGCAGGTGATAAGGGTATACTGTTACATAAGTAGGGGAAGTTAAAGATTGAAAAGTTGAAGTTATCACGTTTATCATAAAGCTTTGTTGTTAGGTTACCATTAACGTCTTTTTCTAGTAAAATATCTAAATATGAAACAGATGTGTCAGACTCTGTGGTATCTTTTATTTCAAGCTCTCTGGGATATATCGAGTCGACCGATGAATGGAAGTAACTATTGTTACTTGATAATACGTCCAGTTTAAGGCCCCAGCAAGTGTTTTCTTCTTCTCATGTAGAAATTTTTTTTTACTAAATTCTGCTTCATATGAATACAAAAATAGGTCTGCTAATAACCGGGCGCAATTCGTACCCATGGGAATTCCAACAGATTGTTGGAAGACCTGATCTCCAAAAACTACACAGATATCGTCGATCAGAAACTCAAGCATCTTTTTTATATCAATTTTAGAGTACTTGTGTGTACAATCTCAATGCTTTTTAAATAAATAATTTTGTAAATGACCAATGACAAGGTAAGTATATTTACGAGTTCCATGTTTATTGAAAAAGCAGTTGTCTATGATTTCAAAAAGCCTGGACTTCAGTTTATCGTGGGGAATGGTTGTAGAATGTGTACGCTTTGATGTTATTGATTTTACTAAAATTTTGTGATTTCAAATTTTTTGAAAGTTCCTTAGAGTGTTTTTAGTATCCACATCTCATTTACACCACTCCTTCTCCTTCTTTACAGTAAATATTTTAGTGAGGAGTAAGGAAAAATGCTTGGTAGAACATTTACTGCAACCCGCTATGTTTCTTTGTTTGTGAGGATTTTTATGAAGTTTAGGAATCTAGTAAAGGTATGGTAATTCAAATTCATTTTGATTGTTGGGAATATTAAAGATATCAAAAACGGACAAATGATTTTTAAGAATTTCCTACCTAGAAAGGGAGCTATGGCTGTAAGTTGGATTTCCACCTGCAATATTAAATCCTAGTTCCTCTAAAATACAATTCAAATAATGAGCCTTACAAACAAAGACTATGTTGTCTATCTATATCTACCTAATTCCTTTTTCACATCTGAATTATTAAAGACAGAAGGATAAATAGTTTTCATACAGTCCCTCAATCGCTTAATGCGAGATTTCAACATCAATCTGATGCTCTTAATCCATTCTGACAAAGTCTCAAGGTCTTCCTTTTCGTGTTTGATATGTCAAAGAGATTTGGAAGTCCCAAACACTTGTTCTTTAAGTATTTTACCCTAAATATCTCGAATCTTCAGATAGCTCGAACTTTTTTGTCGGTCCATTTGAGTTCGAAATTATGAGGTTTGACTGTATTTGTTGTTCTGTAGCCCTTTTCACAAAAAATCTTAAGTTTTTGCGTACGATTTTAACTTAAGAATTTCTTAAGACAAATCTTAAGTGCGTTTCACGAACGCATTCGTAGCAGATTGAAGTTAAGATTTTACTTACGACAGACTTCATCCCTATCAACGACTTCAATATGCTTTATAATCCTTAAATAAGTGGGTGAAAATAAAAATAAAACTTAGTTTTTAAAATTTTTCAGCATAACAAACATTATTGACAACAAATAATGAATGCAATCGTTTGTGAAGCAGGAAAATTTAAAATCTGACGTC